TAAAAAACAGGAGAGGCCTTAACTTGCTGTTGGCATTTCCAGTTGTTTTCTGAGGCTGTTATCATCTCCAATGTGCTATATTGGAAGCCGAACATGTTTTTTTTAAAGTCAAAGTGCAGTTCACCATCACAGACTGGTGGCTGAGGCAACAGCGCATTTCATCAGCACATAAACAACATTTTCAAAGTAGTAAGGAGTATCAGGAAGTGTTCAGGGATAGGAAATATCACCAGCCTGACAGCATGCCACTTTCAAGGACAGACCGCCAACCTAATCCTCATCGAGGAAATCGCCTTGACAGTCCTCCGACTTCGAATTTATAATTTTCGCATCGAAGTGAAGGCGACACTGCGCTCACCCTATGACATCAGAATCGACACACGTGACCTACCACTGCTGCTTCAGCTCGGGGGGAGCGGGCGCGTGTGACCTAACACTTGCTGCTTCAGCCTCAGGGGGACGCACGTGACCTACCACTGCTGCCTTCAGCTCGGGGGAGCCAGCGCGGTGACCTACCACTGCTGCTTCAGCTCGCGGGGAGCCGCGCGCGTGACCTACCACTGCTGCTTCAGCTCAGGGGAGCGGCGTGACCTACCACTGCTGCTTCAGCTCAGGGGAGCCGCGCGTGACCTACCACTGCTGCTTCAGCTCAGGGGAGCCATGCGCGTGACCTACCACTGCTGCTTCAGCTCGAGGGAGCGCGCGATGACCTACCACGTCTGTTTCAGCTCGGGGGAGCCGCGCGCGTGGACCTACCACTGCTGCTTCAGCTCGGGGGGCAGCGCGCGCCGTGACCTACCACTGCTGCTTCAGCTCGGCGGAGCCCGTGCGCCTGACCTACACTGCGTGCTTCAGCTCAGGGGAGCCGCGCATGACCTACCACTGCTGCTTCAGCTCAGGGGAGCCGCGCGTGACCTACCACTGCTGCTTCAGCTCGGAGGAGCCGAGCGTGTGACCTACCACTGCTGTTTCAGCTTGGGGGAACCGAGCGCGTGACGCTACCACTGCTGCTTCACTCGGGGGAGCCGCGCGTGACCTACCACTGCTGCTTCAGCTCGGGGGAGTCGTGCGTGTGACCTACCACTGCTGCTTCAGCTCGGGGGAGCCGTGCTGGTGTGACCTACACTGCTGCTTCAGCTCGGGGAGCCAAGCGAGTGACCTCCACTGCTGCTTCAGCTCGGAGAGCCCGCAGCGTGACCTACCACTGCTGCTTCAGCTCGGAGAGCGCGAGCGTGACCTACACTGCTGCTTCAGCTCGGGGAGGCCGAACGTGACCTACCACTGCCTGTTCAGACTTGGGGAGCGAGCGCATGACCTACCACTGCTGCTTCAGCTCGGGGGAGCCAAGCGAGTGACCTACCACTGCTGCTTCAGCTCGCGCGTGACCTACCACTGCTGCTTCAGCTTGGGGGAGCCGTGCGTGTGACCTACCACTGCTGCCTTCAGCTCGGCGGGAGCGCACGCGTGACTACCACTGCTGCTTCAGCTCGGGGGAGCCGAGCGTGACCTACCACTGCTGCTTCAGCTCAGGGGAGCTGAGCGCGTGACCTACCACTGCTGCTTCAGCTCGGGGGAGCCGCGAGCGTGACCTACCACTGCTGCTTCAGCTCGGGGGAGCCGGCGCGCTGACCTATCCACTGCTGCTTTCAGCTCGGGGGAGCCGCGCTGCGTGACCTACCACTGCTGCCTTCAGCACGTGGGAGCGCGCGTGACCTACCCTTGCTGCTTCAGCTCGGGGAGCCAGCGAGGTGACCTACCATGCGCTTCAGCTCGCGCGTGACCTACCACTGCTGCTTCAGCTCCCGCAGTGACCTACACTGCTGCGTTCAGCTCGGCGCGTGACCTACCAATTCTGCTTCAGCTCGGAGAGCCGGCGCGCGTGACCTACCATGCTGCTTCAGCTCAGGGGAGCGCGCCGTGACCTACCACTGCTTGCTCAGCTCGGGCAGCCGCGCGTGACGCTACCACTGCTGCTTCAGCTCGGGGGAGCCGCGCGCGGGACCTACCACTGCCTGCTTCAGCTCGGGAGCCACGCGTGCACCTACACTTGCTGCTTCAGCTCGCGCTGTGACCTACCACTGCTGTTCAGCTCGCGCGTGACCTACCACTGCGCTTCAGCTCGCGTGACCTCCACTGCTGCTTCAGCTCAGGGGAGCCGCGTGACCTACCACTGCTGCTTCAGCTCAGGGGAGCCGCGCGTGACCTACCACTGCTGCTCAGCTCAGCGGAGCGCGAGTGACCTGACCACTGCTGCTTCAGCTCAGGGGAGCCATGCGCGTGACCTACCACTGCTGCTTCAGCTCAGGGGAGCCGCGCATGACCTACCACTGCTGCTTCAGCTCGGGGGAAGCCGCGCGCATGACCTACCACTTGCTGCTTCAGCTCGGGGGAGCCGCGCGCGTGAGCCTAACCACTGCTGCTTCAGCTCGGGGGAGCGCGCGCGTGACCTACCACTGCTGCTTCAGCTCGGGGGAGCCTGCGGTGACTACTACTGTGCTTCAGCTCAGGGGAGCGCGCATTGACCTACCATGCTGCTTTCAGCTGCAGGGGAAGCGCGCGTGACCTACCACTGCTGTTTCAGCTTGGGGGAACCGAGCGCGTGACCTACCACTGCCTGTTCAGCTCGGGGAGCGCGAGCGTGACCTACCACTGCTGCTTCAGCTCGGGGAGTCGTGCGTGTGACCTACCAGTGCTGCTTCAGCGTCGGCGGGAGCCGGGGCGTGTGCACCTACCACTGCTGCTTCAGCTCGGGAGCAACGCGAGTACCTACCACTGCTGCTTCAGCTCGGAGAGCCGCGAGCGTGACCTACCACTGCTGCTTCAGCTCGGGAGCCGCGAAGCGTGACCTACCACTGCTGCTTCAGCTCGGGGGAGCCGAGCGAGTGACCTACCACTGCTGCTTCAGCTCGGGGAGCCAAGCGATGACCTTACCACGCTGTTCAGCTCGCGCGTGACCTACCACTGCTGCTTCAGCTTGGCGGGAGCCGTGCGTGTGACTACCACTGCTGCTTCAGCTCGGGGGAGCGCGCGCGTGACTACCACTGCTGGCTTCGACTCGGGCGGAGCGAGCGTGACCTACCATGCTGCTTCAGCTCAGGCGAGGCGTGAGAGCTCGACGCGCGTGACCTACCACTGCTGCTTCAGCTGGGGAGCCGCGCGGTGCCTACCACTGCTGCTTCAGCTGCGGGGAGCCGGCCGCTGGCGGTGACCTACCACTGCTGCTTCAGCTCGGGGGAGCCGCGCGTGACCTACCACTGCTGCTTCAGCTCGGGGGAGCCGGAGCCGTGACCTACCACTGCTGCTTCAGCTCGCGCGTGACCTACCACTGCTGCTTCAGCTCGCGCGTGACCTACCACTGCTGCTTCAGCTCGGGGAGCCGCGCTGCGTGACCTACACACTGTGCTTCAGCTTGGGGGAGCCGCGCGTGTGACCTACCACTGCTGCTCAGCTCGGGGAGCCGCGCGCGTGACCTACAATGCCTGCTTCAGCTCGGGGGAGCCGCGCGCTTGACCTACCACTGCTGCTTCAGCTCGGGGAGCGAGCGCGTGACCTACCCTGCTGCTTCAGCTCAGGGGAGCCGCGCGTGACTACCACTGCTGCTTCAGCTCGGGCGAGCCGCCCGCATGACCTACCACTGCTGTTTCAGCTCGGGGAGCCGAGCGTGAACCTACCACTGCTGCTTCAGCTCAGGGGAGCGCGCGTAACCTACCACTGCTGCTTCAGCTCGGGCGAGCCGCGCATGACCTACCACTGCTGTTTCAGCTCGGGGGAGCCGAGCGTGACCTACACTGCGGCTTCAGCTCAGGGGAGCCGCGAGTAACCTACCACTGCTGCTTCAGCTCAGGGGAGCGCGCTGACCTACCACTGCTGCTTCAGCTCGGCGGGAGCGCGCGCGTAACTACACTGCTGTTTCAGCTTGGGGGAGCTGAGCGCGTGACCTACCACTGCTGCTTCAGCTCGGGGGAGCCGCGCGTGACCTACCACTGCTGCCAGCTCAGGGGAGCCGCGCGTGACCTACCACTGGCTGCTTCAGCTCAGGCCGGGAGCCGCGGGTAACTACCACTGGCTGCTTCAGCTCAGGGGAGCCGCGCGTAACCTACCACTCTGGTTCAGCTCGGGGGAGCCGCAGCGCGAGACTACCACTGCTGCTTCAGCTCAGGAGCCGCGCGTAACCTACACTGCTGCTTCAGCTCGAGCGAGCCGCGCATGACCTACCACTGCTGTTTCAGCTTGGGGAGCCGTGCGCGTGACCTACCACTGCTGCTTCAGTAGGGGAGCTGAGTGCGTGACCTACCACTGCTGCTTCAGCTCAGGGAGCTGAGCGCGTGGACCTACCACTGCTGCTTCAGTCAGGGAGCTGAGGCGTGACATCCACTGCTGCTTCAGCTCAGGGCGCTGAGGCGCTGACCTACCACGCTGCTTCAGCTCAGGGGAGCTGAGCGTGACCTACCACTGCTGCTTCAGCTCAGGGGAGGCTGAGCGCGTGACACCACTGCTCGCTTCAGCTCAGGGGAGCGCGCGTGACCTACCACTGCTGCTTCAGCTCAGGGACGCTGGCGCGTGACTACCATCTGCTGCTTCAGCTCAGGGGAGCTGAGCGCGTGACCTACCCTGCTGCTTCAGCTCGGGGAGCCGTCCGCCGTGACCACCACTGCTGCTTCAGCTCAGGGGAGCGCCGCGCTGACCTACCACTGCTGCTTCAGCTCAGGGGAGCTGAGCGCGTGACCTACCACTGCTGCTTCAAGCTCGGGGGAGCGTGCGTGTGACCTACCACTGCTGCTTCAGCTCGGAGGAGCCATGCGAGTGAGCTACACTAGCTGCTTCAGCTCGGAGGAGCCACGCGCGTGACTACCATGCTGCTTCAGTCGGGGAGCGACGCGCGTGACTACCACTGCTGCTCAGCTGCGGGAGCCGACGCCGTGACCTACCACTGCTGCTTCAGTCGGGGGGAGCCGACGCGTGAGCCTACCACTGCTGTTCAGCTCGGCATGGAGCCATGCCCGCGTGATCTACCACTGCTGCTTCAGCTCGGGGGAGCCGCGCGCGTGACCTACCACTGCTGCTTCAGCTCGGGGGAGCCGCGCGCGTGACCTACCACTGCTGCTTCAGCTCGGGGGAGCCGCCCGCGTGACCTACCACTGCTGCTTCAGCTCGGGGGAGCCGAGCGCGTGACCTACCACTGCTGCTTCAGCTCGGGGGAGCCGCGCGCGTGACCTACCACTGCTGCTTCAGCTCGGGGGAGCCGCGCGCGTGACCTACCACTGCTGCTTCAGCTCGGGGGAGCCGAGCACGGTCTTGACGATGTGAGCGCCGTGGATCGGAGGACTCGAGTACATCGGCCGGATGATGATCTTGATCTGTGACATCGTGCGGGCGGCCTCCTCCTTAGAGTCGCATACGAGTGTCATCGCTCCCGCACGCTCGCCTGGAAACGGTCATATTTAAAAAAATATTTTAGCATTTATTCGTAATTTACTTTTCATCATTTATTATTATTATTTATTTATTTTTTAATTATTTATTAATCATTTGTTATTTACCATTTATTTATCATTTAGTATTTTATATCAAGCGTAGAGGCGCGTTACCATATAGTCCCATGTTCTTTGCGAAGGATTGCGCCAGCAGCAGCTGGTGTCCGTCTTTTAGGAAATGTCTGACGGCAAACGCATCAGTATTGCAGTCACTGGACGCGAATCCTTGATATGCCATATCGAAGAATGGGAAGATGTTCTTCTCCTGCAGGAACAACCATGTCGGAACATAGGAACAGTCACATGTTCAGTCAGACGGGCACACGTTCAATAGCCTTACTGCCATGTATATAATCTTCGCTCACATTCAATCTAAATGTAGAAGGCAGTATTAGGGTTAGGGCTAGGATTATCATGATCAAGGGCAGGCATGCCAATTACTAGCAATTAGGTCTCTTGCGTAAGAGTTAGATCTAGTTAGTGTTAGGTTATGGTGAGTCATAGCTACCATAAGGAGGAGTTATGAGATAAACACAGTACGATTTAGCCTATGACCTTGGTGACTCCCAAGGTTATAATGTGAGAGGTTTATTACCTTAATGAGCTTGGACATCTCCTTCCACTGCTCGACCTTGGGATCGACCCCTGTCGGGTTGTGAGCACACGCGTGCAGCAGAATGATCGACTTCTCTGGCATTTTCTACAGTAGCAGAGATGACGAGGTCACGATTAGATTACTAATCAATTGATTAGATTGCTACCCGCACGTGTGAGGGTGCCGTGTGACGAACGATTCGATTATCATGACGTTTCCACGCGGCGCTAACCTAAACTTGACAACAATTTTGACTGCCTGCTCAGAGGTCAGTGTTGCACTCACACTCCAAGATACCCTCTGACATCGAAAAAACCTTTCACAACTCTGTGAGGCAGCAGCATTGAGAACAGTATAGAGAAACGTCTAACAAATGCCTCTTCAACTGTGATTTTCTTATACCTGAATGAATGGAACAACTAGCTGCACTCATACCTTGATGTCATCCATTGTGCCTTGGAAATCGAAACCGCAGTTGCTCTTGTCGTAGTATGTGTAGGAACCAACCTCGAGGCCTGCATGTCTACATACCAAAGAACAAGTAGTAATCTTAATACAGGTCACCCATACGCCAAAGCCACTAACTAATACACAGTACTACGAGAGATTTAAAATAATTACAATTACTGCTGAATATTGCTGTCCTGACTATCTAACAAAGCCAATATCACAATTATCGATTAAACTAGGGATTACATATATACGTACTTGAAGATCGGAGTGTGGTTGCCCCAGGATGGCTTCGGCAAATGAATTAGCTTTGTTCCGGGGAAATATTTTGCCTGCAATGAAACTGCTATTTGTACTCTGTATTTTTAACATACGAACATGCACGTCATTATTGCCATAACATGAAAACATAAGTATAGGTATAGGAGCAAATACTGTCACATAAACATTAGCTAGTTTTAAATTCATTTCACATATATTCAAAGAACAACACAGCTATGTTATAAAATAAGCTTAACAAAGTCACATCTTTTTACAAATTAAAAAGTCGTTCCTTGCTCTATCCATTGAGAGCACCATCTATCAGGAATCATATTGCAACATTCTAACAAAGACTAAGGTCAATTTGAGCACCTGTGGCATTTATATGATCACCCCCAGGCCATAGTCCTTGTTTAACTCTTAATATCGCTCTATAATCTTCACATGTATTTTGCTCACCAAGAATGCAGCTCCAATGCGAAGAGATCCAGTACCAGAGATGCATTGCACGGTGGCATTCTAAAAACAAAACATGAGTCATTAGCAACTACATGCCATAGATATAGGTATCATATTGCTTTAATTCAGATCATTTTAAATCTCTATCTCCATATAATTATTTATACGACACACCTTTTTAAAAGATTACTCTTGAAATTCGATTAACATTATTTTTCCGAGAGAAAGCAATATATAAAGGTTGTTATGAAAGCGCGCGCTTATCTGTCCCACGTTCCTCGTGCATATACTCACAAGGCCATTCTTGACATACTCGTTGTCGTCGCCCAACGCCAGGTTTGCTGCCTCCGTGCAGAACTCTGCAAAACCCCCGATGGGAGCGTACTCGTGGTCAGTGTTCTTCTCCATGATGATTTCCTCCGCCTGAAACACATGACAGCAGATTAGTTTAGCACATTTGCAAAAATGACGGCTAGGGTTACAAACTTGGAATGTGCATTAATCAGTAAGGACCACATGTAAAGGAGGTGTGCCTGCTGTCTTCACAAGCTGGTGTGATGCACCACCTGCTGATTAAATATATTCATGGGTACCTTGTTATTTCCACGCAGCGAAAGAAACTAGGAGCACTCTAGCAGCACTGCCCGTTGCAGCAGGGCATGTTCTGATTGGTGGAAACCTAATTTAGGCGATCCAAGGTTAGAGGGACAGCGGTATTTGAGGTAGTGCGATTCAGGGCACACCTACTTTAGCAATATGGTTTGCGCGACTAATCGATTGAACCACCCATGACTGCATGATGAGACACGAGGTCGGATTCCTCCTTACCCTTCTGACGCTGGGCAAGACGTACGGCTTGCCATTGTCGTCTCTGTACGCGCCGACTCCCAAGTTGATCTTGTTGGGGTCTGTGTCTTTCTTGAAGGCCTCAGACACACCCAGGATCACGTCCGGGGGTCCTTGTTCCACATCCGCCCACCACGCTCTAAACACGCAGTAGCCACGACAATAAAAACAACAACGTTCGATTATCGACGCCCAGATTTACCTGCCAAAAATGGGTTCAATGATATTAAGAATAAGAGCTGTCCCCAATTCATTTTCGCAATGTGCGACGTGTGCAAATGAAATGTGGACAGTTTTTATATCCTTGGCCCATCGACTCGGATAGTAGTACGTGCAGTGCAGCAAAGGGCAAAGTGCGAGTCATGACATTGGTTGTACAGTAAAATAATCAATGATTGACTGAATAGGCCCTATAACATTTCATGATCCTACATGTTTATTTAATTAAATCGCAAACGTGGAACTGTGCATTAAATTTGAGACGCAAAATTTCACGAAAGTGGTAGTTATGTAAACATCGTGGAGTGCTATATGGTTATCAGATAAATTTTTGATCTGACGGATAAGGCAAAAAAATTCTCGATCAATGCAGACAGACAGTGCAAATCAAGCAGCGGACACACAAAACGTGTACCTGTCGAAAATAACATGTGAAATACGTACTTGTTTCTACTGTTTGTAAGTGCGGCCGTCGATCGTCCAACCTGCAGTAAATAAGAGGAAGAAACGCGACAGAGCTTCAAGGACAGTGCCATGATGTAGGTCGTCCGTCCTTCGTCAGATAGACGTGGTGATCCTTCGTCAGCTTCGCACACTGTGTGCGGAGAAATAAAACAACGTCACGGATTACACGACACACGACACGACGGGGGTATAACTAAAGCACGAGTCACGGTTCCCACGGCGCGAAATGGCTTCATTTGCATTGGGAAGTTGCGACGGTTTTATGAGGCAGTACAAATGCTCGCGGTGTCGATTTCTGGCGTGAAGGAATATTTTGCAGAGTGGCGCGAGGTATCGGAATGAGGCAAGGGCAATATTGAGGCTCGAGTAACCATGAGTCACCATAGTAACAGCCGGGAGTGCCTCACCTGTTGCTGGTCAAGTCCTGTGAAGCAGAACATGCCGATCTGATCGGTGATGTGCTGCCAGTTGACGCTGGAACCTTCCTTTGCCAGGTTCTCCTGCAGGGCCTTGCGCATGGCAATGATCCTCTCTGCCATGCCCTTCACCTCTCCCAGCCTGCAGAGACGCATGCGATTGCAAGACACGACCGTTAATTACTATCCATTACTGATGCCAACACAGTAAAGTTCGTAAACTAATGTAGTAAGTACTGCCTTCAGAGTATCATAGTCACAAAGTTAATTTTGCACAGACAGAGTTTGGATCTATAAACTAACAATAATCTATCAACTACAATAATAAAAAACGTCATCTCTTTAATCTGATTATCCCTTGATAAAAAAAGGCTCTCTGTCGTTCTTGTACTATTATGTTACCATCGCAACCATCACAACCATCGCGTTTTACCAGCAGGAATTATGCATCTGTTGTACATTGGCTAAAAACAGGAGAGGCCTTAACTTGCTGTTGGCATTTCCCAGTTGTTTTCTTAGGCTGTTTATCATCTCCAATGTGCTATATTTGGGAAGCCGAACATGTTTTTTTTTAAGTCAAAGTGCAGTTCACCATCACAGACTGGTGGCTGAGGCAACAGGGCATTTCATCAGCACCATAAACACATTTTCAAAGTAGTAAGAAGGTATCAGGAAGTGTTCAGGGAGTAGGAAATATCACCAGCCTGACAGCATGCCACCTTCCAAGGCAGACCGCCGGAACCTAATCCTCCATCGAGGAAAATCTTGCCTTGGAGTCCCTCCGACTTCGAATTTATAATTCTCGATCGAAGTGAAGGCGACACTTGCCTCACCCTATGACATCAGAATTCGACCACACGTGACCTACCACTGCTGCTTCAGCTCGGGGGGAGCCGCGCGCGTGTGACCTACCACTGCTGCTTCAGCTCAGGGGAGCCGCGCGTGACCTACCACTGCTGCTTCAGCTCAGGGGAGCCGGCGCGTGACCTAACCACTGCTGCCTCAGGCTGTCAGGGCGAGGCCGCCGCGTGACCTACCACTGTGCTTCAGCTCAGGGAGCCATGCGCTGTGACCTACCACTGCTGCTTGCAGCTAGGGGAGCCGGCGCATGACCTACCACTGCTTGTTTCGCTGCGGGGGAGCCGCGCGCGTGACTAACACTGCCTGCTTTCAGCTCGGGGAGCCGCGCGCGTGACCTACCACTGCTGCTTTCAGCTCGAGGGCGAGCCGTGCGCGTGACCTCACCACTGCTGCTCAGCTCAGGGAGCGCGCATGACCTACCACTGCTGGCTTCAGCTCAGGGGAGCCGGACCCCCCCCCCCGTTGACCTAACCACTGCCTGCTTCAGCTCGGAGGCGCCGAGCGTGTGCCTACACTGCTGTTTGCAGCTTGTTTTGGAACCGGAGGCGCGTGACCTAATCCACTGCTGCTCAGCCGGGGGAAGCCGCGCGTCGACCTACCATGCTTGCTTCAGCTCGGGGGAGTCGTGCGTGACGCTACCACTGCTGCTTAGCTCGCGGGGAGCCGTTGCGTGTGACCTAACCACTGCTGCTTCAGCTCGGGAGAGCCGCGAGCGTGACCTACCACTGCTGCTTCAGCTCGGGAGAGCCGCGAGCGTGACCTACCACTGCTGCTTCAGCTTGGGGGAGCTGCGCGTGACCTACCACTGCTGCTTCAGCTCGGGGAGCCGAACGTGACCTACCACTGCTGCTTCAGCTTGGGGGAGCCGAGCGCGTGACCTACCACTGCTGCTTCAGCTCNCTTCATCATTTCATCACTTCATCATTCGAGCATTTTATCACGTGATCACACAAATATAGTCTGGATCTCACCGATTCTTCTCTCACGATTGCGTATAAAGACGTGTAAAAATATTAAGACGGCGCCAGACTACGCTCGCGCACGGCCTGTGTTTTGGCTGCCATTACAGTTATCGTCAGTCCAAACAGTAGCTGTCTGCTAATAACCAAGGAGCTACATATAACATGTTATATGTATATGTTATTATGTATGTTATGTTATTTATTATGTTATTATTATGTTATTATGTTATGTTATTATGTATGTTATGTTATTATGTATGTTATGTTATTATGTAT